TTTTATCAACCAGTTTTATAATCCATGTACACCACAAATGACTGGCTTCTCATATAGAACATAAGTTTCTAAACTAGGGTTATAACAGAAATTTATTCTGCATGCTTGAAAGATTAGTCTAACTATGTGACTTGGAACAATACTGGATGATATAAATATCAAAATGGTTTACAAATTATGTAAGTACACCTAGTAGGTTATACTTCATTAGTTCCAGATTTACAGTTGTGATATCGTGAGATGTTATATTGTGACTTTATTTTAGGCCTGTGCAAGGCGGTAATTAATTCTTTATGTTATTGTCATTAAGTGGTTAATGAGTCAAAAACAAATAATCAAAACATTTCAGATGTGGGGGGCGCCAAAAGTGTCTTTGCCCCGGGGTGCTGAGAACCCTTGCTACGCCACTGATTTTGGTGAAGATCCACCCCCAACCTGCGAAGTAGTTACATCGACATACAACAGACAATACTATTATATTTATATAGACATATAATACAAAGCATTCATATGTAGTTAACACAGTTGTGCTCAGGATATTATTATTTCTAACAGCCTTCAAGTCTAATGCACAACATTATATTTTATGTTGCCAATCTAACAAAATTAGCACAGTAGCTAATGCATCTAAACCTTCAATCCATTTTCTGGAACAGTGTAGTTCCCGTACTGTTCTATTATACATTGGGCCTTCTCCCGAAACAACTGATCTGTCTGTGGCTCCCACCAGTTCTCGTTGTTTCCGTCTTTATTGAACTGACGCCCTGTAAAAAAAAATATTGTTCGAATTTTTGCTAAGTCTGTCGTTTTAGTCTGCATGGGTAAGATTGGCATTTATATACATAGAGGTTTTGTTTCAGCTCTAATTAACAAAACCGAAAACTTATTATTATTTCGTAAATACAAAGCACGTACATATATACCTCTAGCTACCTTGCTGTGTTGCTACAACATGCTCATCCTGACTAAAACCTTTCTAATAGTAGCAAATACAATACCACACTATCACTATTAAGTACGATAATATCTAGATTATACCGAATAATTAAAAACAAAATGTCATTGATAAGCTTCGTTACCCAAGTTAATAATTATGAAAAAAAAATCGGAATATTTATAGTCCAATCTTTCGTACAGATTAAGAGGCACATACCCAGTTTCAACTCTAATATACAACAAAAACGTTATGATCCAGAATAAACTTGTAGGAGTCTAAAACTTTTCTTTTTTTACTTATAACTAATATAAAATAAAATCTACACATTCTCGACTCATTCCAACAAAAAACTAAAATATTCAAAACACTTCTTGATTGACTTTAAAAGTAACACTATCTGGACTAATACTAAAAATATTAACAAGAACTACAATGACATGCATTTAAAACGACGTCGTGCATGTAATGCTTGATAGAAACAAAAATGACTTACTGCCAAGATCACTTCTATAAAAAGGACATACTACCAAGATCAATCCTCCAAGAAATAAATCTACTAAGATTAACCCTTTTATAAGAATATTTACCAAGCTCAGTACCATAAAAATAACGTATTGCCAAGATCACTTCTATAAAAAGAATGTACTGCCAAGATCAACCCTCTAAAAAGACATCTACCAAAATCAATCCTATAAAAATGACACCTATCAAGATCAATCCAATAAAAAGGATATCTACCAAGATCAGTCCTATAAAAAGGACATCTATCAAGATCAATACAATTAAAAGGATATCCACCAAGATCAGTCCTATAAAAAGAAGGTACTACTAATATCATTTCTATAAAAATGGAATACTACCAAGATCAATTCTATAAAAAGGACATACTACCAAGATCAGTTCTATAAAAAGGGCATACTACCAAGATCAGTCCACTAAAAAGGACACACTACCAAGATCAATTCTATAAAAAGATCATAATACCAAGATCAATCCTCTAACAAAGGACATATTACCAAGATCAATTCTATAAAAAGCTTATCTACCAATATCAATTTTATAATAAGGATATCTACCAAGATCAATTTTATAATAAGGATATCTATCAAGATTAATTCTATAAAAAGGGAATACTAACAAAAATCAGTTACAGAACATTTCTAAATTAATGAATTATATATCAACAACTGGTAGAGCTGAATTTTCAAAGAAACATTGTACATGCTTGTTTTTTGACTCTCATTAACATAAAACTGTGATCTACGTACTGCCAAGTATTTACGATTAAAATTGTTATCTAACCAAATTCTTTCATTATAGAAAAAAACTGTGAATTGAAAGTTCATTTAGCAAAATATTGTTATAATAAAATGAAACAATTTTAGAAAATAGAATTATATAGAATGCTATTACATTTTAACTGTACAAAATGAACATTTCCAAAGACATGTTAAAGTACAAATATGCAATGATAAAATCAAACACAAAGAATATTTCAATTTTTATAAAAATGTTTTAGGTAAAGCATATTTTGGTATTTCAAGATTATTAACCTAAAAGGTTCCAGACTTCTTCAATACTGTCATAAATTTACATTTTCTTTACATCAATTTTTAGCAGTCCCATTCTCTCTCATTTTCCAAAAATACTTTAATCATTAACACTTAGTTTTATATTTGAAAAAAAAAAGATTTCATTGATGAAAAGAGAAATTAAGAATAGCCTCACAAAAGCCTGTATTTTTATTGTTAAAAAGCTGGATGATTCGAATTTTGGAGCAGCATTAGTTTTACTGTTCTGATATGCCCATAGCTTGAAGAGAGATAAAAATATTAAAGAAGTTTTGGCAGTTTGTTAATCCCTTTTATTTTCTTTTTTGTGTGTGTGTGTAGATTTTTAACTTCAAACATGTTTTATTTTCATTTATAGTTCTATGAATAAGGCTACTACACATGTAGTAATTTACATATTCCTTAATTGACAACATTCTAAGTCATGCCAACTGTTTGTGCTTTGCCTGCATGTATGATAAAAATTCATGGTTTAATCTCTATTCTTTAAATGGCATTGCAGTAAAACTGACTGTTAGCTTCTGATAATTTCGAAATTCTAAGTTGTTTTAGTGATGAGCGAGCTCCTTGTATTAAGGAATCACTCAGCATTCATTATCTTCAACCTAAACTCAATGAAAATACATTAAACAAAATTATGTTTTATCAAATGTACAAGATATTATGACATTTTTTTGTTACCTTAGATTTAACACTTCTTATCTCATTTGATGATTCCCTTCCTCATTAGTTTACTCAGGGTAGGCAGACAATGTATGAGATAAGTACACTAATCTTCGAACTTAGAACAACTAGATAATATGATTAGTTATAAGCTTGTCACAACTGTTAAGTATATAAAAGTATTTCTCACCAGAAACTAAAACATAACATTTTTGTAACACATACACATTTTCCAGATCTATACTGACCTCTGTCATCAAACCCATGAGTTATTTCATGTCCTATGACAAAGCCGATTCCTCCATAATTCATATAGCTGAAAAAGGTATTATTGAAAATGCAAGTAATTAAATTTAGTTATTTAGTTAGTTTCCTTATGATATTTTTAATAATCATCACCAAATCAGAAAACTTAACATAAATAATACAAATTTTACTTTACTTCTAATTATTAATTGTAAAAACAATAACCAAAAGAAACACTGTACTAGCTACATCAAATTACCAGTAGACCCACTTTTCCATAGCACAAGATCATTGATTTATGTCAAACAGCTTACATCATCTATAAAACCACTAACAACTCCAAAGTAGTAAACTCTCACCTCTGTATCTGGATAAACACGTTTTCCCACCGATTCATATCTCCACAAACAAACACTTATATTGCAATACCAGATGATTCAAATTCTCTTGCCAAAAAATTCACGACTCTATACCAAAAGATTCAATAATGTATGCCACACCTCATACAAACAACTCCAAGTCAGAAAACTTACACCTACATGTCTGAAAAAAAAGTTTTTATACCATCTCACATCTCCATACAGGAAGACTCATATTGTGATGAACAAAAAGTTGGACCCTGAGTCTAATCATATTCCTACTAACCCTAGAAGAATACCAGATGGTTCACATTCTCTTCCTAAAAGACTCACAACACTATACCTAAAGATTCAATAATGTATCTCACACTTCATACAAAAATACTAACAACTCTATACCAGAAAACTCTCACTTTCACACCAAGAGATTCCCTTATTCATTCCTCGGGTTTCTTTCTTCCATATTCAACAAGAAATATCTACATGCTTAGAGATGCACAGCTCCATGTCAGAAGACTCACATCTCATGTCAAGAGACTTGAATCTCTATACCAGAAAATTCATACTCGCATATCTGAAGAAACGCATTTCCTTACGTATTCATACCTCCACAGAAGAAGATTCATATTGCAATACTAGATGGTTCACATTCTCTTATAAAAAACTCACAACCAAAAATTCAATAATATCATCTCTTACAAAAATAATAAAACCTTTATAACAGAAAACTCACATCTCCACAACTAAGTACTCCCTTCTTCAAGCCTTTGAGACCCACATACCAGAATAAAAACATCTCCATAGTGAAATACTTCCCTTCTTCTTACAAAGCGACTCATACCACCATACCAGAAATTCCATAACTCCTAATAAAAAGCTCACAACTCTATACCAAAAACACATATCCCCATAGTAGAATACTCTCATTTCTATACCAGAAAATCTATAACTCCTAATAAAAAGCTCACAACTCTATACCAAAAACACATATCCCCATAGTAGAATACTTTCATTTCTATACCAGAAAATCCACTTATACATCATGTAGAGCCAGATTAACTTTGATGGGGTCCGGGGCTTCTAAATTTTGTGGGGTCCTTTTAGGCATATTCAATTTCTTTGTTTACTGATTTTCCACCCCTTAACTAATTTTAAATACTGTTCAAGTCTCAAATTGTAACTTTTACAGTTCACGTGCATGTAGGGAATAAATTGTTGTTATTTTTTAATTTAGAATATGACTTTATACAAAATGAGTAATTAAGACGACTGGGAGTACCCAAAGATATCACCTCAGTGGGGAGTCGACATGTGAGGGGAGGTCAGAGGATGCCATCTGAAGGTAGCATAACTATTATGTAATGTGCAAAATATGTCAACACCTGAGGACTACATAACTGTTATTATAGGCACCAGAAGGCAGTGACGTCCACGAAGCGGCACTAGAGGGTGCGTTTGCTACGGATGACGTCATAGTTCCATGAAGTGGCACCAGAGCGCTGCTGCTTTAGGGTGGGGTAACATCATAGTTCAATACCAGAGGGCCTATTACTATAAACAGACACTGTTAACAAAGTTCTATAGGCAGATGGTGTTACTAAGGGTAGTGCTTGTATAAGTGAATGGTCTTACTAAGGTTCTATAGACGGAAGTTTTACTAGATATATTACATGTGATTTACATAAATAGATGGCAATTCCATAAGTGGACAATGATACTTAGGTTCTACAGACTGGCAGGGTTACTAAAGTTCTATTCGTGGATGTGTTACTAAGGATAGTTATTTTTATACTCAGATAGTCTTACTAAGGTTCTATAGGTGGATCGTGTTACTAAGGGCAGTGTTTGTATAGTTGGATGGTGTTACAAAGTGGATTGGTCTAATTAAAATGCACAGATGGTCTTACTAGGCATATTGTGTGTATCTTATAAAGGCAGACAGTGTTTCTATAAATAGACAGTGTTACTATACTTCCGTAAGTTGCATACAAGTTTCAAGTGGTCTCAACTTATGTTTACAGTTTTCATTTATGTATTACATGTGTTTTACAAAGGCAGATAATTTTTCTAGAGGTGGAAAGTGTTACAACACTTCTAAAGAACTGCATATAGATTTTAACTCGTCTCAACTTATGTTTACAGTTTTAATTTATATATTACATGTGTTTTACAAAGGCAGATAATTTTTCTAGAGGTGGAAAGTGTTACAACACTTCTAAAGACTGCATATAGATTTTAACTCGTCTTAACTTATGTTTACAGTTTTCGTTTATTTAATACGTGTTTTACAAATATGGATGGTGTTACTAGGTAAATTGTGTTACTAAGGTTCTATATATGTAGATGGTATTACTTGGCAAATTGTGTTAGTAGAGTTAGTGCTAATAGGGCAGATGATGTTTCGATAAATAGGTAGTTCAATAGGATGATAATCTTATTGTTTCAACATGTGATTAGATCATCAACATTGTTTAGATTTAATCATATGTCCTAAAAGTTAGAAGTAAATACATTATTCTATTGAGACAGCTATTATAACACTGTTACATAGATCAGCTTTTATCACACATATTATCTTAATTTGTACATTATTTGGCAAATATTATATCCAATAATTTAACTTATGTACTCTTACAATTATCTGTAGCTTCACTAATTCATTAGATCCATACTTTTTGCTTCTATATTTAACTTACGTGACATACATTTTGCATTTTCTGATGTCTTACATGTAAAAAAAATGTTGCTAACTCATTTCTATAATTAATATATTGTATAACATCTATTCGACTTTAAAAGAATGCTTATTTAAATCTCATTTAGATTTATAAGTTGATTTGTCTCACTAAAGTTTAAAGGATCTATTTAGATAGTTATGTTTAACCATTACAGTTCTTATCTTTCTGTAGATATTTTCACATATATTTGTCTAGAGCCTGTTTCTTGCAGGTTTGAAACTTTATTACTAAGCACAATAGTGCTTAGTATGTAGGGATGGGGCGAGAAAACTATGGTTGTCACATTCAATCTATTACTCTATGATACTTGAAAATTACTGCTAAAGTTAATTTATAGCCTTATTTGAATACCTAATTGCCATTATCGAGTGTTTCACAGCTTGTGAGACTCCTAATATTATTTAAAACTGTTGCTAAAGTAGAGAACTTGGAACTAGTTAAAAAACCGAAGTGTTCATCTTTCTTTTTTATTTTCCCATGCTAGCCATATAATGTGTGAAGTTTTTGCAATGGCTTTAGTATGACAGAAAAGCATTTTAAGATTACTTGGGAGTAGGCTATCATTAAGCACAGTAGTGCTTAGTATAAGTTAAAAAACAATTGTAGTGTAAATGATGTTATCATTACCCCTTGAAGTTAGCTTTCTTAGAAAAATCTGGTTTTTCCTTTAAAAAGCTTAATTACAGGGTAAAAGAGGAATCACCAGCCAACCTAGATGACTGTACCAGGTAGAATACTGAATTCTTTATATACTAAACACAATCTGTGTCGTTATGATCTTGAAGTTCCAAAACATATATAATTTCGGTTTTTGTTCCACAATTCCTTGAACTAAATACAATTGTAAGACAGAAGTAAGTGATATGATTTCATATGTGCAGACTTATATGTTAGAAATTAATAATAATACAATAGTTATAGATGAGGAAACACAGCCTTTCAAATATGGTTGTCACTGATATTTTGAATAGTGTTTGCTTTGACTGCAAGGTTGCGTTTTATCAGGCAAGATCTGTGGAAGATACTGGTAAAACAGATGAACCTGTATTATAGCATATATATATGGTCCCCGAGCTCCAGCTCCTGCATATATGTCAAACGACTCAAACCCTTACAGAAATACTAACAATATAATAGCAGAAGACATACATCTCAACACTGAAAGACCCCACCGCCATGTCAAGAAACTCATACTTTCAAATCAAAAACACTCACAACTTAGATACCCTCACACCTCCATAGTAGAAGTCTAACAACTCTTAGAAAGAGACTCAAACTATCCCTAATGTTCAAAGTCATATTTGCAGCCCTTTTTATTATGTACCATCATAGGACGTCTGCCAAAAGTCTTACTAAGGTCTTATAAATGGTTACAGTACCTTATTAATTTTAAATCAAAATTTTTATTGGTAAATCTCAACACTTTATTCAGTTTATTGTCGCACTTGGAAGAAGGATTTAGACATTTTTCTAATAAGTATAACTAAGCCCTTTCATTTTTCCATAGCATCAATCTTCTTACTCTTACACAAAAAATGTCTTCCTAATTGCCATACTTCATGTCATACATCTCAGCTTTGCAACTATTTTATTAATTTATGGCCCACTCAATTAAGCTGTCAAATTTTTCTTCATCACAGAAAAAGTCTGTATGGTATCAGCTCGAAACATCGCTTCAGAAACGTTACAATATAAAGAGCTACCACATTTTTGAGATCAATTACGAACAACAGATATACCATAAAGGATCAATGTGTGAACGCACTAGTGCCATTATACTAACTACTGGAATGCACATTTATCACCAATGTTTGTTTTCTATTTTCAAAGTAACTTTTTTTTTACCAAATACAAAAGTCAATCCTCAGAATTTGCAGGCGATGTTATTGCAGTACATTGTTCACATACCAAATGGTTCAACTAAGAACTACACTCCCTTCCTAGACTCAAACCGCCTTTCATAATTTCATACTACATGCACTTATAAAAACACTCACATAATATGGCTTCTGACTAATCATTCTTACACTTATGTACGTTAAAAAGACCATTTTAGCTGTTCAATAAGCATTATTTACTATTAATCATTATACTTAAATTCTTACTTCGGCCTGTCTTTTCCAAAGAATACGCCCTGCAAGATTCCAGCCGGGAATTCTGTGAATCCATTTAAAATAGGTCTTCACATTAATGAGAGCCTTGGTCAAATAAATACGGATTTCATAAAGAAATGTTGAGACAATAATCATTACAAACTATTAAATTCCTTACTGCTTTTTTTTAAATACTGCATATCCAAAGCTGATTGTAACAATGCTCACAAAATAATTCGTTGAGTTATGCATAGATTACACCATACGTTAGACTAACAAAAATATTATATATTGTATCAAGATCTTTTATTTAAATAACTTTATAAAGCTTGGAAAACTTTATAGCAAAAATATTAACCTTTTTTTTTAGTCCCGAGGCCGCTTATGACCGTTAGGGCACCTTAGATGTTAAAGTATTATCAGTGATTCTCGGGCAGATTTACCTAGTGGTGCCCATAATTTAGTAGTGAAAGATAAGAGGGAAGGTATTTAACACCATCCACTGCAAATTCTTGGGCTACTCTTTTACCTAGAAATAGTGGGATCGACCAACACATTATAACGTCCAACGGTTAAAAGGGCGAGCATCTTTGGCAACGGGTTTCGAACCTGCGACGTGCAGATTGCCATGCCAGATCCCAGGTATTGGGCTAAGAGAAACAAAATGATTAAAGCTATTGAATAAAGTTTTATCCATGATGTTATTTCATGAATAAATACTTGTACTAGTTAAGTTCTGAGTTGTGAAACCAGTTTTATTAACTTGTAATAAAAAAAATAATATTGAAGGTATCTAAAGAAAATAATCCGCAGTTTATTTGCTTTCGTTACAGATTTGCCAACGTCTATTAAAGTGTCAAAATTGTTGGTACTTTTTAGTTTAGGTGTCCAACAATCTATGATAGTGTGTTATATAACAGGAAAATCTTTCTCTACCAATCACGTAAGAATCTGTTTGGTAGAAAGTTGAAAGTTGCTAAATACCTGAAGCAGATGTTGGAACATGCATGTATTTCTGCTCTATCAAAGTAAAAAGTGTGTATAAGGCTATAAATATCCTTTCGTTAAAGCGAATCCTACATCGCAGACCGAGTATGACCTAGTGGATAGCGTAGCAGACTGTGAACTCAAGAGTCAGTGGTTCGCGTCCGGTTTTCGGTGTCGTTGGTTTGTTATTAAATGACGACCAAATACCACTATTTGAATTATAGTAGCCCAAGAGTTAGCGGCGGGTGCTGTTCATTAGATACCTTCCATGTAGTCTATCAGTCCCAAATTATGGGCGACTAGCGCAGATAGTCCTTATGATATCTGCTTTTCGTTTTTTATATATTTTTTATTTACCCTAATCTATTGGTTTCTCTTCGTGTACGCATGCTTAAAAATGTTCAGTGATCTTATAAGATAATATATCTAAAATATAATGAAACTAGATATAAACAATAATCTTATAAGATAATATATCTAACACATAATTAAACTAGATATAAACAATAATCTTATAAGATAATATATCTAAAATACAATTAAACTAGATATAAACAATAATCTTATAAGATAATATATCTAAAATATAATTAAACTAGATATAAACAATAATCTTATAAGATAATATATCTAAAATATAATTAAGCTAGATATAAACAATAATCGTGTAAGATAATATATTCAAAATATAATTAAGCTAGATATAAACAATAATCATATAAGATAATCTATTCAAAATATAATTAAGCTAGATATAAACAATAAGCTTATAAGATAATCTATTCAAAATATATTTAAACTAGATATAAACAATAATCTTATAAGATAATCTATTCAAAATATAAATAAGCTAGATATAAACAATAAACATGTAAGATAATATATTCAAAATATAATTAAGCTAGATATAAACAATAAACATGTAAGATAATATATTCAAAATATAATTAAGCTAGATATAAACAATAATCATATAAGATAATCTATCCAAATTATAATTAAACTAGATATAAATAAGTGAATACTTTAAACATACGAATGCTGTTCTCCATGGAACTATAATAGGCATTTACGTCAGCCGCACGGGCATATTTCTTCCAGCTGTAAAGAAAGAGGGATGATTATTATATTTCATAAAGCACTTACTCTCTGGCCATTCCACATAACAACTGTTAGAAGGATAGAGTAAAAGTTTATAGCTTAAAATAAAAAAGGAAACAAACAACAATTTTGATTTTTGAAACTTCATTGTGAAAATATCGATAAACTAAATACACTTTAAAGCCTTAGTTAGTTTAGAGAAAAATGTTTCTTTCATTCTTGCTAATATTCTTTTTTATATCCTTAACATAACAATATTATCATTCTTTCCGCAGCTGTACATAACAATATTATCATTCTTTCCGTAGATGTACATAATAATATTATCATTCTTTCCGTAGCTGTACATAAAAATATTATCATTCTTTCCGTAGCTGTACATAACAATATTATCATTCTTTCCGCAGCTGTACATAACAATATTATCATTCTTTCCGTAGCTGTACATAACAATGTTATCATTCTTTTCGCAACTGTACATAAAAATATTATCATTCTTTCCGTAGCTGTACATAACAATATTATCATTCTTTCCGCAGCTGTACACAACAATATTATCATTCTTTCCGCAGCTGTACATAACAATACTATCATTCTTTCCATAGCTGTACATAACAATATTATCATTCTTTCCGCAGCTGTACATAACAATATTATCATTCTTTCCGCAGCTGTACATAACAATATTATCATTTTTTCCGCAGCTGTACATAACAATATTATCATTCTTTCCGTAGCTGTACATAACAATATTATCATTCTTTCCGCAGCTGTACATAACAATATTATCATTCTTTCCGTAGCTGTACATAACAATATTATCATTATTTTCGTAGCTGTACATAATACTATTATCATTCTCTCCTTAGCTATAGATAACAATATTATCATTCTTTCCGTAGCTGTACATAACAATATTATCATTCTTTCCGTAACTATTCATCCCAATATTATCATTCTTTTCGTAGCTGTACATAACAATATTATCATTATTTCCGTAGCTGTACATAACAATATTATCATTCTTTCCGCACATTCTTAGATATTTTGCTGTGTTTATAGCACACATCATGTTTCAGTTTTTATCTTTATAAAATAATATTATTATTTGTCCCATTTCTCCAATTTCCTGTTCAATCCCGTCTTGCTCCTTCAGAACACAACCTTATACTCTCCTTCCTGTTCAATCCCGTCTTGTGT